ATGCATAATAAGAGAGATACGAGTTCACCAAGATACCTGTTCAGCTGAAGTTCTATCTTGCAATGTAGGAACTTTCAGTGCAAGGTGATGATTGGAAAAGCTTCCTTGAGGTCCAGGGATGCTATTCCAATGTTTACTTTGTCTTGAAAGCTTCTGAATCAAGCTAGAGAACTTCACCTGCAAAACAAGAAATTGAAAATGGTGGAAGTGGTTAGAGGGATTACAGGTCGTGCTTCAGGTCATGGTTAGCTTGCATAGATGCTAGGGGATGTGTAGGAACTGGTTTGGGCAAGAAAGCTTGAGAGAAATGGGAGATAGCACTCAAACTGCAGGCTTTGCCCTGTTTGTGCAGTTTGAGAGTGATTATGGCTATGGGAGTGTTTGAGAGATGCAAGGGTCGTATATTAGCTTGGTTTTGATCTTTGGAATGTGTTTGATAACTTTGTTCTTGTGTATCTAAGCTGAGATGGGTGTTGGTGTTAATTATGCAATGTTTCTTCTAACTTAAGCAAGAAAGGCAACTTGTGTTTCTAGGTCAGTAGAGGACCCCTAATCCTGCTGCAAAGCTTCTCTTGATCAGAGTAATTTGTTCATAATCTTGTGCTAAAGAGATTTGGTTTGTACTTGCTTGATTTACCAATTGGACATAAAGTGAACTTTTGCAAAAATGGATAGTTTACTTTATCTAAAAATGGATTAAACCTTTATGTAATGTTAGAACACAAGGAACATGGTCTTGGCACAAAGAATATGCATTAAATTTATGAGTGTAACTTGGTTTAAGGACCTGTAATCTAGCCTAAAGCATGCTGAGTTCAAATTGCAAGGTTATGGACATGGAACTTGGTCATGAACAAAGTGAGATTTTGCCATATTGTGAAATTCGATTCTCCCTAACCATGAGGTTGTTTGAGAAGTTCTTGGACATTTTTGAAAGCTTGGAATGTATACTACAATCCATCTTTGAAATGAAATTTGAAATTACAAGTGGAAGTGTATGGAAAATGGTCTTGAAGTTAGGTAGAAAACCTTGTCAAAATAGGTCAAATTTCACTAAGTTAAGAATGGTTTAGTGCCCTTATTCAAAAATTTGTAACTTGAGATGCAAGCTTCAAATGAGAAAACTTTGTGAATCAAAGTTGTAGATTATGCAACAAGCTACAACTTTCATGTTTTGACTTTTGTTTGAATCCAAATGAATCATGGTGAAAAAGTGGGGCAAAGTTGGGAAAAAATTAGGGTTTTTCATAACTTAGAAAAATTCTAAGTTATGAAAAATTCTAATTTTTAACCCTAATTTGCATTTTGTGATTTCTTGGTGAACAAGTTTCATGATTTGGAATGTTTTGATGAAAAATGAATCTTGACTCTTGATTTTGACCAAAAAGTCAAAGTTTGACTTTTCAGTATACAGTCAAAATTGATCAATTGACTGGGAAATTCAACTGTCAATCTTGTGTACTTTGGATCTTTTGAGTTTGTTGAGCATGTCAAGATAATTCCATGGGGTCCTTGAGTCCATATGTGAGCTTGATTTGCCATTGGCTAGGTCAAACAGTCAAAAATTGCCTTTGTGCAGTCAAAACCCTAAAAATGACCATTTTGCCCTTTTGGTGATCTGATCAAATTTCTTGGGGAATTGTGATCCAAACTTGATCAAATGGTTCATATGAGTTCATAATGTTGATGTGGGTCAAATTTCATGAGGTTTGACTGTCAATTGGCCACAGTTGACTTTTTCCCCAATACAGTTGATTTCTAGGTCAACTGTCCAATTGACTGGGCAAAACTTGGAATCAAGACTTGAAACTTGATGTGGGTAAACCTGGGAGTCCAATATGAAGCATGAAAGTCATCTTGGGCATTTTAGGTCAAAGCATCTTTGTGCAAACACAAACCCTAATTTGAGTCAACAGTGCAAAGAGAGGTCTTGAGCAGATGGAACCCTAACTGGATCTTGAGCTTCAAGGGCTTTGTGGTGAGAAATCAATGAGAAATGGGAGGGAAAATTTTGGGGTACAACACCGACCCATAGAGATCTCTGGGACTGGGCCAATCAAGCTGTCGGGCCAATCCAGAACAGAAAAAATCAGAATTGTTGTTTCGATAACAGTATATAGAGGATGGAAAATGCATCAATTAGATGTAAAGTCAGCATTTTTAAATGGTCCATTGTAAGAAGAAGTCTATGTTACTCAACCATCAAGATTCGACGTCAAAGGGCAGGAGTCGAAAGTATATAGATTAAGGAAGGATCTTTATGGTTTGAAGTAAGCTCCTAGAGCTTGAAATAAGAGGATAGATATCTTCCTGATCGACGCAGGTTTCATAAAGTGTGTCTCTGAACATGGAGTGTATGTAAATGATATCAACAGTGTCAATCAAATAATTTTATGCCTCTATGTTAATGACTTACTCATTACAGGAGCAGACGAAGATGAGATAATTAAGGTAAAGTCGAAATTAATGCAGGAACTCGAAATGTCTAACTTAGGGAATCTTTCATATTTCCCAGGGATGGAATTCAAAGACACTGAAAAAGGAGTATTATTGCATCAAACAAAGCATGCTCAAGATATTTTGAAGAGGTTTAAAATGAGTAACTGTAATGAAGTTGTCACTCCGTTAGAAACTGGATAAAAGTTAAAAAAAGAAAATGGATGATGAGTTTGTAAGTTCGACCCTTTACAAACAAATCATTGGATCTTGAGATATCTTTGCAATACTAGACCAGATATCTATCAAAGTGTAGGATTATTGAGTAGATTTATGGAGAAACCACAAGAATGTCATCTCATCGCAGTAAAGAGGGTGTTGAGATACATAAAGGGAACTATTGATCATGGTGTGTTGTTACCAAAGAAGTCGAAGAATAACACAGATGTTGAAGTTCATGGATACACCGACTCATATTTCAGTGGAGATCAAGACGAAAAGAAAAATATTACAGGCTACATTTTCATGATTGAAGGTGCTCCAATCTCTTGGAGTTCGAGGAAACAAAGAATTGTGGCTTTGTCATCATGCGAAGTAGAATATGTGGCTGCATCATATGCTGCATGTCAAGCAGCATGGATCGAAATGCTACTTGAAGAACTCAGGATAATAGAACCTAAGAAGATGAAGTTTTTTATCGATAACAAGTCAGCAATAAACCTGGAGAATTACCCGGTGTGTCATGGTCGAAGTAAGCACATAGAAAGAAGGTATCATTTTCTGAGAGATCAAGTCAACAAAGGGAAGCTTAAGATAAAGCATTGCAAGACAGAAGTGCAATTGATTGATATATTTACCAAACCTATGAAGAAATTCAAATTCAACGAGTTAAAGAAAAACATCAGGATGAGAAGTCTCGAGAACATGAATTAGGGGGTATGTTAGATGTGTAATTCTTGTTCTGTCGAAATGTTTGTGTAGTGTATGTCAAATATCTTTTGTATAGGTTATAAGTTGTATTCGACAGAGTCGAATATAACAGATATTACAGTCTGTCGAATTCATGTTTTAGACTTTAGCATTTTGTCTAATTGAGCCTGGGCATTGTTTGTCTATATAAAGAGTTGCTGAGCTTGTAAAAAGAAAGATAGTGAAAAAGCAATCAAATTAACAAACTCTCAATTCTCTCTCTTCTCTCTTCTACTTCTTCTCTTCCATAAATCATCTTTCTTAAAAACTCTTTGTTCCAACAGTTATTTGATAAAATGATCTAAAAAGACACATATGCTAAGGCTCAGCTAGACTTTTGGGTGAACCAAACCCAACATCCTTTTGGGTGAACCAAACCCAATAACACAAATTTAAATCCATATATAAATTTATTGCTACAAACGCTCAAGGCGCATCTTTTCTAACCCAAAAACGTCTCATACTTTAGATAATTATTAATTTAGACTGTTTTTCTTGAGATTTCATTCGACACCACATAAGGAAATTGTTAGAATGTCTATCATCTCTTCTTCTTCTTCTCTTCTATAAATCATCTTTTTTTTAAACTCTTTGTTCCAACAGTTATTTGATAAAATGATTTAAAAAGACACATATGCTAAGGCTCAACTAGACTTTTGGGTGAACCAACCCCAACATCCTTTTGGGTGAACCAAACTCAATATCACAAATTTAAATCCATATATAAATTTATTGCTACAAACACTCAAGGCGCACATTTTCTAACCCAAACACGTCTTTTCTAACTCAAATACATCTCATACTTTAGATAAATATTAACTTAGACATAGTTTCTCATGAGATTTCATTCTACACCACATAGTTTCTCATGAGATTTCATTTGACACCACATAAGAAAATCATTAGAATGTCTATCATCATTCAATGTGAATTTAAATTTCATATCAGAACATTATGTTTTTTATTATATATTAATATTTTTGTTTTAAAAAAAGTATAAAAAAAATTATTTCTTTCTTCCCGAAATTCCAAACACATTGAAACTGATAAGTAATTTATATTATATTGGATATGCAGTGTGTAAATTAGGTCCTGTGTGCTGAAATGAATGTACATGTATTTTATACACTTCAAAATCAAAAACTAGATCAACCGAACACACCATTAACATTTGTTTTCACTTATTTTATATCCCCATCTTCCTTCGTCACTATGACTCACCAAATAAATATAATAATTTTATGTAATAAATATTCCATTAGATAATTTTTTATTGCAGGAATAGTTTGTGACATTGCGTATATTTTATTTTTTTAAAAGAAAAATTATGGATATTAACTTTTAAAAAAATAAATCTATGCAATAATAACTTTATTTAAAAATAAAAAACTTTATTCACTACATACCCCAAATTTATACATCTCCACGTTCCCAAGATCAACCAAAAAAGGGGAAAGTTTCAAGAAAATTGAAATAAAGCATAATAAAAAAAATTCTTCTACATCTAAACTTCTCAACTCTTTCACAACTCTCTTATATATAAGCCGATTAAGTCGAAAACAGCTCAAGCCGTTTAAGCCACAAACTCAAGCTGTTTAAGCCACAAACTCAAGCCCAAGCTTTACTTTGCAAGAAACACTACAATCCTTCATCTCAATTTTTCTCTTCTTTATGGGGACCAAATATTCCGGTTCACGTGAAACCGGTTCGATCCCAAGCCTAAGCTCCAAACCAACATCACTCACACCTTCCTGGGCTTGGTCATTTACCTTAGCTTCAGACTCCGGTTCTTCATGAAAAAGTATCGAAGTTTCCACCGAAACCCCACTCTCATTATCTTTCCCCGGTTCACTCCGCAAGGATTCAGACCGGTTCGCCTCTTCAACTGAACCGGTTTCTTTCCTGAGCTCCGACTTCACAGCTCGTCTGAACCGAGACCGAGTCTTGACTCGCTGAGTCTCCTCCGAGACTCCATCTTTTGACACGTGGCGTATGTCATAGGCCTTCAACGGTGGGCCACTCGCAGACTCTGAAGCAATCGGCTTAATCGGCTCGCCTTTTAAAACGGCTTCAACCGCGGCTTGACAGAGCTGCCAGCTTCCAGACCATAATAAACCCACAGAACCATAAACCGGGTTCACAATCCTCCCACAAGCCTCATATAGCAATGATCGAAAAATTGCTGAAAAAAAATCACCATCAATATAATTTATTTTTTTAAAAAAACTCTAAATTCTTTAGAAATCCAACATGCATGTCAAAATACATCAATCCATTAACTCAGATACATCAGTTATTCAATAATTCATCATGCATATCAAATACTTCTCAGGTACATGGATTATTCGATAGATCATTTAAAAATTCAACATGCATGACACATACATGGTTATTCAATAAATATGAAATTTTGTTTATAATAATGATCGGGGAGAGAGTAATTGTTTACCTGGGCGAAGATTTTCTTGACCAGAATTGATGAGGTTGGTGAGACCAGCACGACCATAAAACTTAGCAAGAAAAAGAGTTGCATTAGCTTGTGATTTAGGACACTTGATCCATTCCAAACATGGTCTTATGCTACAATCTTCACTACACCCTTTTCTTAAAACTCTGCATCCATTACAAGACATTCTCATTTTGATGCAACCCTTTGTTTTCTTTTTTGTTTCTATTTGATTAGAAATATAAAAATTCAATTTTTATGTAAAATAAGAAGAAGGGTTTTTTTTTTTTTTGGTTTTGGTAAGAGAGAAAGGATTGAGATTGTGGAAGTGAAGAGGCAATTATATAGTTGTTTGATGGGAGTTTCCGGCGCTGTTGGGTTTTTTCACATGTTTAAGGAGACGCGCAGCTGTTTCTTAACAATTGTTTTTTCTAGGGAGTTTGTTTTTTGTGTGCATAAAACAGTGGATTAAATTTGTGTTTTTCTTATAAAATAGTTTAAATTACTAGATTTGTTTTACCATTTTGTTCGTTTGATAGTTTCTTAGTACTTGGTAAGAAAGAACAATAAATGAAAAACAAGTAAAATTATATTAAATATTAAAAGTTTAAAAGTGATAAATTATCACATTAATTTTAATTTTAATATATATATTTAAATATATTTAAATAGTGAAAAGATAATGTACTCACGATGTAAAATAATTTTACATTATCATCTAATAGAAAATAAAGAGAGAATTATTTTATGATTTTAGTTATTATTGGTTAAAGAAAAAGATAAAAGAAAATTAAATCATATTGATAAAAAAGATAGATTTTTTTTTCTTCAAGTAAATCCTATATTTAGAAATTCAGTGGTATAATTTTGATATAAATTGCTACTTTTATTATTATCAAACTTGTATTTATATCATAACCATTTTTTTACACTTTAGTAAACCTTTTAATTTTTTCTTTTGGCTCTTCAAGAAGATTGGAAGTTTGAACCACTTTCTAGTTTCAAGGTAGTGAAGCTTTATAAGTTTATTTCCATTTGTGTGGGAACAATGTAACCTACTCGCTTTTCCGCGCGTGCTTATACTCTCCATTTGTGGATTCTTGCGTCACTGGCGTGGAACAACCATCATGCCATGTTCTGATGCATCTTATGATGAGCAGCCATCAAATTATATATTTATAACTTGTCTTTTGGATAAATTAAAAAATTAATTAATTTTTATAAATTGTTTTTATGTAAATTTTATTTATATTTTTTAATTTTTTTAAAAGATATTTCACTTTTCTAAATTTATTTAAATAATTAATGTATTTAAATTATACTACCGATTAAATATATTAATTATTTGATAAATTAAAAAAAATAAAATATCTCTTATAAAAAAAAAAGGAGGAAGTGATATTTTTTCTCATATTTATAATTTGAAAAATCTTCACAGTAATAGAAATATCTATATTCATGTGAACATTAATGTTTATACATTTACTCTTACCTGTAAATATTTAAGTATTTATACTTATTTTTATTTTTATTTTTAATAAAAAAATAATATAATTTTAATAATATTAAACATTAAGAATATTCAATAATGATGTGACTTTGAAGTACCCAAAATTACCCTCTGAAAGATCCGTAAATTACAAAATTCTCCAGAAAAAACGGAAAATATGTAAGGTTAAAAACGGTAAAAGGAGGCATGCAAATATGCACAAGAATCGAGGGGTGTGGACATTAGCGTGTGGTAGTCACGTAAAGCTTACTCGAATCGCCACATATGAGGAGTGGGGTCCAGTAGCAGTGGTTTTTGAAGAAAAATAATAAAAACATAAAAAAAAATAAAGTTCCTGGTTTTTGGGAGTGAAAATGGTTTTGGAGAAAACCATACACTGGTTTGTGGTTTGGTTGTTGAACTATGGGCGCAGCTGAAGAAGGTAAAGAAAAGTAAATAAGCCAATGGTTTTGTGTTTAAGCTTATCTAATTACTAAGGTTAGAGTAAATTACACAACTTATTCCTCTCTTTTAAAACACTTTTATCTTATATTTTAAGAAGGAAATAATACCAAATAAATCATATGGTGTATAGTGTTTTAATTAAAGTCTTCTCTCTTATAGGAATTGAATGTGTGTTATATTTGTATTTTTTTTCTTTGAGCAATTTGTGTTAGAATAACTTTGTTAATATATTCTTTTAGTTTTTGCATAAACTAAAAGTGTACTATATTTTTGTAAAATTTAATTTCTATTGTCAATGATAATTGCACGAATATTTTTATGATTTTAGAATACTAAATTTAACTTTTTTTTATTAATATAATTTTAAAATTATATATTATGAATCATTAAAATTGCATGAATGTTTAATTTCTATTGTCAATGATAATTGCATGAACATTTTTTATGATTTTAGAATAGTAAGTATAATTTTTATTGTAATGTGAATTTCTTCTATTTTATAAGATGAATTAAAATTATATATTAATGATTTTAAAAATAAAAAATAGAGAAAATATATAAATTAGAATTTTTAATGATATTTATATGAATCATTAATATGTCTCCTCATTGTATTTAATACATTTCATAATTGTTTCTTCAATCATGATTGCTATGACCTTGCTCAATAAGAGAACATGGTGAATAAGTCACTCTTGGGATATCTTAGGACGAGGTGGCATTACTCACTTGTCGTACTCATGCTCTAACTCGTTTAATTTTAGTTGAAGACACTCGTGCTTTTCACGTGGATATAAGTTAGTGGACCGAGTTAGATGATGAAATACATTTGACATATAGGACCAAGTTAGTGGAGCGAGTCAACCTCATTACAAGCTTAGTGTTTCACTATAAATCCTTTGTAAATGTTTCATTTACTCTTCTTTTCCTCATTTCCTTTCCCTCTTATTCATCATGGTTTTCCTTAAGGAGTGTGACAAGAAAGAAAATGTGTTTCAACCACATAATCAAGAGGGATACAAAATATTGTTCCACTCTGTCAAAAACTCGAGGCGAGAGATAAGAGTGTTGAGAGTGACTTACTCGAGAGTGAAATACTTGGGAGCCACGACTGTAACAACGCTAGTAGTAGCTGAAATAGTGACTCATCTAGAGATAATAGTGTAATTTTAATCTCCTTGATCGACAATAAGGATAATGAGATTGATGATGGCATCTACTAACAAAAGTTAGGATCATGTTTGTGAATATATGGTGAATGTTTACTCCTTATTCCTAAACGAAGAAATGGTGAATGTCTTTTGGAAAGAAATAATGATCTCGTCCATTGGAAATGAGGAAGACAATGTTTTAGAATCACACATGGAAGGCGAAAATGCATGCACGAGGAGGCCTAAGGAAATAGTAGGTGAATACTTCTTGATGTATACTCATATCTTATTAGACTAAGGGACGCAAATCCTTTTTACCCTATTCGAGTGTGAGGTCATAAGAACGGTTAATATTTCCCCTCACAACTTCAACCCAATAATTGGGCCTTTGTGATGAGGTTTGAAATCTTATGTGAGGGTCTAGGGATCACACTCACAATGTGCATATTCTTCTCTTTATATGGAATAAAAGGGATTGATAAGGTGAATCAGATTTCTATAAGCACACTCCAAAATATTGGGCTTTTCTCTTTATATTTCTCACACTATAAGAGCTAAAAGAGAGGTTCTATGTGTGTGAGGCAAAGACGAATTCCTTAAGTCCATTTTTGACAATGAAGGGGTTATAGATTTACTCTTTAAATAATAGTCGCTCATGTGTCAATCACGAGATTCAATTATGACGGACTCAACGAGTCTAAGAAGGATGGTGCCAGTCTATTAGATCATATGTATGTTAAAAGCATTACATATTTAGTAGAAGTGAAAGACGACCAAGTGGGACTTGAAACTTTCCTACATAAGTTTATTGTTTACTTCATTCTTGTGTTTTGATTATTATTATGTTTTAGGCTAACTATTTTATTTCCCTCAAGCAAAAAGAATGGCTTCCATTTTTTCTAGAAGAAAGGAAGACTTTCATGGCAACAACAAAAGCGAATATGGGACAATATTAGTGGAATCAGCGGGAAGAGAGGCCCCATAGAGGTAATGATGTGTTTTTTGTCATTTATGACTGCTAGTCGTGGTGAGGTGTTTGCACCTGGTAACCCGTCTAAAGAGAGGGAGCTGTTGAAAGGTTAATGTGACATTTCTATGCATGAACATAACCAACTTCAAGAAAATATTATCGTCCTTGAAAAGTACATGAAGACCCACAGTCTCCCTTGCGAGCTTGCCTCAACGGTCTTTTCTATGAAGGAATCCTTAGTAGAGAAGGAGGGGCCCTATTAGATAAGAATAAAACCCTTAGAGATATATGTACTTATTTGACCGACTCTGAGACAGCCCAAGAGGAATTAGATTATAAGGACAAGGAGCTCGAGGAAACCCATTATAAAGAAAGGAAAGATCACTGTGATGAGGTGAATGCCCATGAAGATAGCTTGGTTGCAGTGAGAAGTGAGCTTGAGGTCTTCGTTAATGGCGGTGTTAAAGATATCCATGCCACATTTCAGAATTTCATTAACTAGGTGCAATTGTTATGTCCCAAACTGAAGATTCCTTAAAAGTCGTTGAACTCAAAGAAGGTGGTCAAGGATGGGGAGTTAGTCAATGATGATGATGAATGAGCCTCGTGGCTTTGTTTATCAATGCTTATAACTTTTAACTAGTCCCGAGGATTATAATGATGACCATGGATTTTTTTTAATGTATTTATGTCTTCGTTACATGTTTCGACTAGCTTTTTCATTGTTTAGCTTTGCATGGCTTTATTCACTTCATAGTCTTTCATAGTTTCACTGCATCACACGATCTTCTATGATTTTATTTCATCATGTCTAATCCTTTCATGATTTTATTTCATCATGTGTAATTCTTCCATGATTTTATTTCACCACGTCTGCGACCGAGTTGTAGGTCAGGGTGTGCTTTGACATTAAAAAGCAACAAGCGTTCATCCCCCCCGAGTGTTACATATTACAGGAATGACACCGACTCGAACTATTAAAGGTATACAACCTTCACTCTCGATTACCTGCATGTTACCGACATAAGGGAAACATTCAAACAGAAGGGGTGAGATATCTAACAATATAATAAAGCGTATGATAATTAATATATTGAATTAGATCACATAAAATCACC